CTGCTCCCCAGTGAGACACTGAGGGAGCGTGTGCTCTCATTCCCCTAGTACCCAGCCTGGAGTTCAGCTTGGAGAGGCCCCTGAACAAATGGTCGTGAAGTTGACCCACCAATGGGCTGGTGAGTCTCGGAACCATAGGGAAGTGTAGTGACGTGTAGGTGAGAAGGTGCAAACCCAGCCAGGCTGTGGGAAGCCAGGGGCCAGCGTGGCTGAGAGGGTATGAGGATCAGGGAGCAAAAACAGAGCCAGGTCAGAACCTAGAGGACCCGTTGCAGCAGGACCGTCTGGGAGCCCGCTGGCATCCACCGCACGGCCCAGACAAGGGAGTTCAGGGGCGAGGGAAGCCGTGTCTAGTTTAGGGCATCGGGACCAGGGAGAGGATGCAGCCTGCTGGAGTGAGATCAGAGGAAGCAGCCCGCATGATTAATGGGACGGAGGGACTGACTCATGAGGGAAGATTAAAGCGCTCCTCGGAGCTGGGGTACAGACTGAAAGGGGCAGATGATAGCAGGCTGCAAGTATGAGATGGATAAACACCCAGGAGGGAGCCACTGGCTTCATTAGGGAGGTGAAAACAGGACTCCATCCCAGGAGGGGAGGTTGCCTATGGAGGAACTCAGATGAGGGTGGGCTGGGGCAGTGGGGCTGCTGGAGCTGGGAGCACCACAGGGTGACTCTTTCAGAGAACCCTCTGCTCTCATCCTGCAGGGTCTCAGGTCTGCCTTGGTGCTGCCCTTGGCCCTGGGAGGCGGCCTCAGAAGTGCCAGCCTGCCAGGCTGGGAGGGCTGACTGGAGAGGGTGCGGGAGGGCTGCTACAGGGAGTGGTACCTCCGGGACAGACAGAGAGACACAGACCCGTGTCCCTCCCTCATCTTAGATACCAGTGAGTGGACGCCAGGGCAGTGTGAAAGCCCTTTGCTCCGAAGCCAGGTTGCTTCTGCCCTCCCAGCTTTGGGTTGAACCCCAGATACTCATTCCAACCCCCCTCCTGAGAGCACAGGCCGCCCTCCCCGCTGCCTGCAGCAAGCCCAGCCTTCACCCTGGCCTACAGCTTCCTCGGAGGGCTCCTCCCAACAGGGATGGCCTGGCAGGCATTTTGGGAGGCAAGATTTACTTGAAACAGCATTAAGCAGCCCCGGGCTCCAGAATCAGCTGCCCTCGGGTATTCTCTGGTATTTTCTCCAGGGCTGGGCAGAGCAGCTGGTGCCATCTGACATCACCGTAGGTTGTTGATAACCAATTCACTGAGGCCTGTAGTAGAGAGGCGTGCTGGATGCTGGGTGACATTCGGATCACCTGGGGTGCTTTTCTTAAACCACCTGCAGGGTCTCACGCCTGCCTTGGTGCCCTCCCAGCCTGGCAGGCGGGCACTTCTGAGGCTGCCTCCCAGGGTCAAGGTCAGCCCCAAGGCAGGCCTGAGACCCTGCAGGATCTCAGGGAGCTTCTGGTCCAGAGGGCAGAGGCCACCTAGGGCAAAGCAGGATGGAGCCGGAGTCTGAAATGGCTCCTCTCAAAGACTTTCCATTCTGCACGCTGCAGCCGTGCGTGGCTCTGATCCTAGGCTTCACCTCTCATTCACAGCCCTGACATTCTGGGTGCAATGATAGAGGATGAGTCTCTCCCAGCCTTGACTCTCAGGGCTTCCTTCAACGATGTCTTTAGAAAATAGCAATGCACTTGCTAGTTATAAGGGTAACAGCCCAAGACGTCCATGAATCTTCTAGTTCCTGCAGCCAACACAGCACTGATTACCCAGGTGGGGAGTCTAACAAGTGTTAGGAGTATCGAGTGAACTCTTTTTATTTTTTGGTAATTGCATATTTCTTTTGATAGATATTATTACTTAGGTTGAGGTTACTTTATATATTTAAATAAAAGAAAAAAGCATGGAAAGATAACAATACTGGTAGTATTTAGAAATGGCAAAAATTGTGTGTGTGTGTGGGGGGGGGGGGTTGTTTACAATGGACTGAAGTTTGCAAAACTGCTCTGAAGTAAGTGGTGTCCCGCAGGGAGTCCAGTATTCCCAGTGGAGTCTCATTCTTTCTTTCCAAACTCCTCTGAAGCTTTCTCACCACCCGAAGAGACTTTTGCCCTGACTTGAGCACTTTCTGAAATGGTTCAGTAGGTACTTGGTCTTGGCTTTGTGGAGAGAAATAGTGTGAGCTTGTTTCTTTCATAGTTCTGAGGTTCTACCCAATTCCACTTCCCAAACTTTCACATCACTCCTTCCCTTTCTGTTCCTCTCACTAGGCCTGGCAAACAGAACCTGTGAGTCCATCAGCGTTCCTGGGGAGAGATCATTGAGATGTGAATCCTGGGGGGGAGGGGAGGTTGGGGGGGGCAGTTAAACTAAGTCAGGTAGCAAAGTGACGATTTACTTCCGGAGACCAGCCTTATGACAAGGGCTTTTAAGCTTCATATCTCACTAACACATGGATAGTACACATTTTAGAAATGCCAGTTCTAAAACGGGAACTCTTGAAGAAACAGCAATCTTCTGTATATCATTCCTCCCCCACCCCCCCCCACCCCCATTTCTGTATTTAGCTTGTGTTGGGGAAGAGGTAACCATAAATGATGAATTTTAGAAACACTCAAGTCACCTGTCTCTAAAGAACCACCTGCCCTGTGCTCAGTTCGCTCTGCATCAGGAGTTCTGTGAGCGCAGGTCACCGTGGGAATCCCTCACCTGAAAGAGGACAAGTCCCTGCTGTGCACGTCATGTGAATTTAGCCTGTGCTTGGTTTTCTCTGGTGTGCTTTATCCGCTCCTTGCCTTCACAGTAACCTGCAGTGATAACGTTGCAGAGTTGTGGAAAGGGATCTCTAATGCCCCGTTTTCTTTCTGATTGCTCCCAGCTGTCGGCATTCAGATGAAACTCGAATTTTTCCAGAGGAAGTTCTGGACCGCCAGCAGACAGGTGAGTTACAGGGGGCACGGAAGCCTCGGCGGCCCTGCTATTATACAGGTGCTCACACTCGGGTCCCCGGAGCCCAAAGGTGCCAGGTTTCCGATGAATGTGTGTAAAATGAACTGCCAGCTGCTCAGATTACCGTTCATTTCACTGCGGAGCACAGGCTGTCAGCATGTACGACGCCCCGTGCTGGGAAGCAGGGACTTTGCTCCTACGGACAGTTCTAATCATGAGATCAGGATAGTGACCCTCCACAGGATACATGTTTTCTTTTCATAGCGGGGACTTTTGTGAATTTTCAGTGTCTCTCTTCTAATCTTGTCACACCTGGACGTCTACCTGTGAACTCCTTATTGCACTCTGGAAGGACTTTGCATGTCTGGGTTTGGGGAGGCACCCATCTGCCCTCTTGGGTCAGAGGGCTTCTCCGTCTTGGAGAATGTAGGGGTGTTCTCTCCTGGGCCTGGGCTCCGGGTACTAACTTCAGGGGTATTTGTCCAGTCATCTGGCAGAAATGGCAACACATAAGTGGGCCTCTGTGCTAAATGTTGGATGATAGATCCTTTCTTAAATGAAGACACTTTAGGAAACTATAGACTAAGAACACAGATGGGTTTTTTAAAAAAAGTCACTGGTGATTCATTCATTTAAAATAAATAATTACATAATTATATTTCTTGTTACCCAAAGATTTTTGAATTCTTAAGAAGATACCAGTGTTAAATAACAACATAAATTAAAATGAAAAAGAGCCAGCCCCCTCCCCCCCAGTTATCTTTTATATTACTACTAGAGGCCCGATGCACAAAATTCATGCAAGGGGCTCGGCCCTCATGGCCCTGGCTGCCTTGCAGTCTTCGAGGCCTCCCCACGGCCCCGTGGCCCCGCCCACTGGTCATTCCAGAGTGTTGTTCTGCCATCCGGTCTAATTAGCATATTAGCTCTTTATTATATAGAATTCGGAGTTGGTATGTTGGTATTGATCCAAGAGAGGGCAGGTAAGACTCATTGTGGAGAATTTTGTTTAGATGAAATTTGGAATTTGAATAATAGGCAAGGACTTTGATGGCTTGTCTTTGAGTAACGAAGTGCCCATAGCAGACCTGGGATGTCACAGTAACACATTTCCCCTTGCTTTCCCCTCCCGCAGTGTGCCTCTCTGGATGGCAAATGCTCCATCAGCTGTGATGACGAGGTAAGAAGGCCTCACAGAGGAAATGCCGCTAAAACACGGATTGATCTGAGCCAGTCTCCAAAACACCCAGGGATACTTGCTCTGTTCCTTTTTTTCTTTCTTTCCCCAATCAGATAATTTATGAGAGCCCGAGAAATGTGCTTTAAATGTCCCATGGCAGCACTATTGGAATTCTGGCATTTTATAGGAAAAACTACAAATTACTGCCATTTGAAACTCACATTACAATTCTCAAATCTTTTCCCCTATGTGCTATCTCTTTTTATCCTCATAACAACCCAGTGAAATGGGTAGGAATGATTATCCTGTTTTATAGAGGGAGAAACTGAGGAGCAGAGAAATTAAATGATTTGCTTAATTTCATGTACTAAATGAGCTGAAAACCTAGGAGTTGAAAATTCAAAGTTTTTATTCTCAAATAGTGCTTCCCTCCTACAATTCCCCCCCTCTCTAAGAGGAATTTAAATCCCACGCATGAGCAATAGAAGAAAAAAGTGTACCACTGCCATAAGTCTGTCTGTAATACTTATGTTTTTACAGCATTCAACCCCACACACCCTCTGCCTCATGCTTTAGAGCAAGCAGATGTGTAGTGGCCTCTCCCCTTGGCTCTGGTAGCCTTTGTCTCCTGTGTTAGCTAAACATTAGTCAATACATAAACTGGGACTTATAAATAATCATATATTTATATTCCTGCCGGTTACCACAAGGATTAAAGAAATCCTAGCCAAACATAATTTCAAACAGAAAACATAGAAGTATATTTCAAAAAAAAAAGTAGGCAAAGGAAAAACAAGTAGAGAACTGTAGAAGGGAAGAAGTTAAAACATACAATGCTCAGTCCCCAGAGATCTGGCTGCCAGTTTAAAAAAAAAATCATAATTGTGTGAGTGAGTCACTATCCAAAGAGTAAAAGCCAAACAATCAGCTTTTCAGAAGAAGCCCAACTTTTTCTATCAAATAAAAAAATATTTTTCCCATAGCCAATAGCAAAGAGCTTCCTATGATGTGTTATGACCAATACCCTTTCAGTAATTTTGGGACTCCCAGTCATAGGATAGACACGTGGCCTCAAACCTCTTCTCTTCTTTGAGACATTTAGTGCCATATTGGAGTTCTCAGCTCCAAACAACACAGCTCAATAATAATATTAATTAAACTTTTAACTTGTACAGTAGGTACAATTACTAATTTCAATTTGCTGTAAGAAAACTGAGGATAGTCGGTTGGTTAGTTGGGTGACTGTATGGATGGTTGGTTGGCCATAGTTGTTTGGTTGGTTGATTGGTTTGTTGGATCATTGGGTGGGTTGCTGGTTGGTTAGTTGGTTGGTTGATTAGTTGGTTACTAGTTGGTTGTTTTCATGGGAGATGGAAAGTTGGTTAAACAATTTGATTTATAAAGCCAAAGACAGTAATTTTCTTTCAACCCACTTTGCCTCTGTGCAGCCTCACATATAAAAACAAGTGGAAATAACAACTAGAATAGTCATCAAATCTACAATTAAAATAGCATATTTTTTATTTTTTAAATGTTTTTATTGATTTCAAAGAGAGGAAGGGAGAGGGAGAGAGAGATAGAAACATCAATGATGAGAGAGAATCATCAATTGGCCACCTCCTGAATGCCTCCCACTGGGGATTGAGCCTGCAACCTGGGCATGTGCCCTGACAGGAATCAAACCATGACCTCCTAGTCCATGGGTCAATGCTCAACCAGTGAGCCACACCAGGCAGGGAAAATAGCATATTTCTTAAAAAGTGGAAATGGATTCCAACTTAGGAACATCCAATATATGTTTTCTGTCCAATGACTGATTTCACAGGTGGTATAGCATGGCAGTTAAAGGAGCAGGCTATGGAGTCTGGATAGATTCATACTGTGACTCTAACAATAATAAGCTACAAGAACTTGGGCACGTTTTTGAACCTCTGTGCCGCAGTTTCCTGAGCTCTGCATTGGGGATAGAAATAGCCACCTCACAGAGTAATGGTGAGGAATAAATGAGATGATATATAAAAAATGCATGGCACAGCTCCTGGCAAATTCTAAGCACTCTGTAAATGTGAACTATAAACCAAAAATGTCTATAATTTCCTTCTTGCCCTCAAGTAGTGGTTCGCCTGATTCTAAAACCTCAGGCAGCAATGGCACATGCACTTTAGGCAACTGAACATTTCTCCTGGGCACAGTAAACACAGGTAAGATGCCCTTCTCACTGATGATCATCTTTAGCAGTCATTGGGATAAACGCCCATTCAAATGCCATTTAAAGTTTCACATAGCTTAAAAATTAAGCATTGCATTTTCTCTGATTTCTGAACTTAGTCTGATGCTCAAATGTCCTCATTTGGCTTTGAAACTATCATCCATTTCCCATTTTGACTCTAATTTTTGGCTTCAGGAGACCAGTTGACTTAGTTTTATTTATTTATTTTTTAAATATATTTTATTGATTTTTTTACAGAGGAAGGGAGAGGGATAGAGAGTTAGAAACATCGATGAGAGAGAAACATCGATCAGCTGCCTCCTGCACACCTCCTACTGGGGATGTGCCCGCAACCAAGGTACATGCCCTTGACCGGAATCGAACCTGGGACCTTTCAGTCCACAGGCCGACGCTCTTTCCACTGAACCAAACCGGTTAGGGCCAGTTGACTTAGTTTTAAATGAAAAAGCCAGCCCTGTCTTCCCACTGAGGCCCCTTCACTGAGTGCCCTGGGCTGGTGGGTGGAGTCGGGCTGGCCAGATGTCACCATGTCTTATAGAAATACATCTTTGGTTGGTCAGGCAGTGCTTGAGCCATATGCCTTGGAGGGACTGCCTCTGAGCCTGACTGGAGACTTTTAAGGAGCTCCATTCCACTGAGGGTGAATGTTAGCTTCAGAGAGAGCACAGAGGTGATATTCATATACTCACTCATTCCTTCAAGACATGTTTACTGAGCCTGCGTATGTGCCTGCTACCTCTAACCCCTGGGAGTCAGTAGGAAGCAGAATCAGAAATGGAACCTCATCCCATGGGAGCTCACTGGTTAGTAGGGAGACAGCATGTGTGGTTATCAACTGTGACAAGTGCTGGGAATTCAACTAATGTGGGTGGTCAGGGAAGGTTTCTCTGAGGAGAAACATTTAAGTCACCTGAAGATGAAGACGGAGATGACATCTCAAAGCATGAGAAGCCATTTACAGGCAGAGATCACCACATGCAGGGTGCTGAGGGGACAAATATTAGTGCGGTCTATGGAAATAGGTTGGCATTCAGACAGAAGGGAAGAAGAGGGCCGTGCCCACCTGTGTGTTTCATTCATGGAAACCATTGTCTCCTCACTCCTCTCATTCTGTTCTCCCACTCCTTTCCACTGGTCTCCTGATGAAAGCACAGTATTTTGCAAAGACATTGGAAGATGTGAAGTTCTCTCCTACTGAGGCATTTGGAGAAGGTGTGAGGACAGCAAGAAGGTAGAAGATTTCATATTAAAAATCAGCTGCCACCTTCTCTTGTTCCAAAGGAATAGAGACGAATAGTCATGACTAGACTTTGCAAGGCCTTTTAGACATTTCCTCTGGAATCTGAAAGACCTCCTTGATGTATGACAAGCTGGGGGAAGAGCTAAATCAGGTGGCCAGGTGCCTACATCTCTGCACCCACCCAGCCCAGCCAGTGGAATAGCTATTGAGGGCAAGGGCACCAGTAACTCCCACCAGGCACTTCTGTTCAAAGTGACCCCTTTGCAATAAATTTTTTCAAAAGACAGTATTTTGATAAGTGAACAAACAAAAAAGAAACAAAGTCATGGATACAGAGAACTAATTGATGGCTGCCAGATGGGAGGGGGGTTGGTGGGCTGGGTGAAGGAGGTGAAGGGATGAAGAAGTACAAATTGGTAGTCACAGAATAGTCACAGGGATGTAAAGTACAGCATAAGGAACATAGTCAATAATGTTGTGATAACTATGCATGGTGTTAGATGGGCACTAGACTTATGGGGGTAATCACTTCACAAATTATATAAATGTCTAACCACTATACTGTACACCTGAAACACATATAATATTGTATGTTAACTGTAATTGAAAAACATTTTTAAAAGACAGTTTTTTGATATGATAGTTGACTTATGATAAAAAGATACATCAAGTGATATGAAGTAAGGGTCAGTCTGTTCCACACTTGATATATTAGGGGTCAGATTGTGAGACCTGGAGAAAAGGTAGTAAGAAGTGTCACCTTAGGTACCTGAGATGCAAAGACTCAGGCCCCACCCTCAGATGTAAGAGCGCAGCCCTCTCCCTTTCTCTTTCCCTTTTCTTTCCTCTCTTTCTTCTCCTCTCCTCTATTCTCTCTCCTCTCTTCTCTCTTTTCACAAATGAAAACAACAGTCAGTATAATGCTGGGCTTCTAAGCAATCATTGCTCAGCCTGCACCAATCAAAACAAACAGAAGTCACCCCCTCACTCCTCCAAACAAAAGACAAAACAAAAAGTAACCAAGCTCAACCAACCAGCCTCCACAGCATCTTGCTATGAACTATGGAGCAAATTCCCTTTCTAAATGTATAGCATTGATACTTGATGGCACATAGTAGGTGATCAAAAAACATCATTTGCTGAATGAATGTGGGCACAAGTTCTCTGAGGACTTCCTATCCACCCTGCACTTCACATGTGCTCAGCACTGGGCACTCCTCTCCCACTTAATCTTCTCAACAACCCCAGGAAATAGGCGTTGCTATCTCCATCTTTCAGATAAGAAAACTAAGACTCAAGTGTTAACAGATTTTGCTCACGGTCACACTGATACCAAATGTCAGATTCTCTGATTCTCAAGCTAGTACCTGAGCCTCCTGGGGCTAATCCCCCCTTCCTGTTAACACAAGCTCCATGCTGCTTCTCAGCCCAGACCCCCTTCCTCACCAGCTCTCCTCCCTCTCTGTGATTTTACCCAATGAACATGGCCTGGTTCTGGGCTTTATCCTCAGGTTCTGACTCATCTGCCTT